TATATCGCTATATCGTTATCTTATATCCTTGCGTGTCTTATATCGCTATATCGTTTTGCGCTCGTTGTCTTTGCTCGATGGCTTAAATCAGATTTCTGATGCATCGCCTTGAATGAAAGTCGCTGTATCGTCTTGCCGATATATGCGTTAAATCGATATGTCTCGATACATCGATTTATAGCCCAGTCCTAATATATATATATCCAATTAACTGTAACCTATTTAATAACTCCAATTAACTAACTTTTTGTTATCGTTTTTCATTTTGTTATTTTTAATAAATTTTATTTGTTAAACTCTCTTAGAACTCTTAAAAAATCTGTTAAATTTACGGGGAAAAACTGTCAGCTGTTTTTAAAACCATTTACTTCAGAGAAATTACTGTTATTTAAAAACAGATGCCTGTTATTTTAACAAAAAAATTCTGTTATTTTTCAAATTTTTTTATGAAACACTGCTTTGTGTTAGGTGCGAGTCGAGAGTAGCATTCACATGGCTTGTCGAAGCTGGAATTCGAACCCGGCACACCTCATTGGGAGGCGAGCGCTCTGTCATCTGACCTCTTCACTTTAGTTTCTCATTTAGAAGAAAAATCATAAACTGTTTTAAACTTATTGTAATAATATATAAGTGTAAAAACATTTAAAACTGCAGTGGCACACCCGTATGAAAATTGGCAACCAAACTTAACAGAAACTTAATTACATCTTAAGAAATATAACGATCAGGTAGAGTATCAATTTGCCAATAAAATAAAATCTCTATTTGATTTATATATATTTTCTTTATACCATAAAATAATTGCTGAAAAATAAAAGAGGTACAGGAAATAATCATAAAATGATTTTTTAAAAAAAGGTAGAATTATCTTACGCTAAGCAAAACAGCCTGCAAACAATAAAATTTGAACTAACAGTTTTAAATCTGCAAGTGTTTATGTTGAAAAACAGAGAAAAACAGTTTTGTCAACAAAACAGCTTTAAGCCGTCAAATGTACAGAGAAAATCGGTAAAAAGAACGCAGTGTATGGATAACGGATAAAAACAGAAAAAAAAAACTATATTTTTCTTTAAACGGTTTTTTTCTCTTTAAGAAATACGTTTTTCTTTTGTAGCATTTACAGTTATTTTTTACAGTTTACGGAAAAGAAAACATTAATTTGAAATAAATGCTCGCATAGTTTACAGCATTTATTAAATAAAATTCTATAAACTGATACAAATAAAGTTTTTTTTAAGGAATAACTTTTGAATTTAATGCGAATTCATTATCTTGTTCGAATTTTTATTGAGATGTTTTTCTTGCACAGGATCTTCCAGCAAATCTCCGAATGTTTCAACCACTAGCTCTACCTCATCTTATCTTCCACAGGTGAGCATGGAGGGGGACATGGGGGATGCCCCACCACACCACCGACTCGTCCACTCACCTCTCCTGCCAACGTCCGCAGCCTTATCTCAACAGCTGCCCCATTTTCCGCCCTTGGACTCCCCAAACGAAACGGGGGAAATCATTCTAGAAAATGGAATGGTTCTTGAAACAAACCCCTCTGTTATCAGTTTGGCCCCCAACAAACAGCAACTGTGATAATTCCAATCAGGGAGTTAAAAGGTCAATATTTTTTTCTCTTCCTTTTCGTGGTTTTCTCCTCTTCTTTCCTCAGTCACGTCGGCCTTATCTTTTTCACGTCAAGTTTACTACGGAAGCAAAAGTTTGAGATGTTTGGCGTTGAAAGAGGGATGTCATTATTTGATGTTTGAATTAGGTTGTGATTTTTGTACATCGTTCTTATTACATTATTGGCTGTGACAATAAATGAATTGTGTCAAAGGGATGACCAAATGAATTATAGTACAACAAAATCTATTTTATAACGAATTTAAAGTTATCTATACAAAAGCTGTTATATCATATTGATTTGGAGAAAAGAATAAGTGGTTAATCGATATTGCATTAAGAGTAATAACATCATGCTTAAAGCAATGAGTAATACCGAAGGAGCATGCTGAAATACGATTTATTTTATACTTTTATAAGTACAAATGTTTTTTAATAATACACACTTTTTATAAGCACGTTTTTAGAAATGTTTACTTGATTAGTATAAATATCATGATAAAACATACAAGTGAGAAATTTAAATTATCTTTCTTTCTTTGTACAATTTTGACAATTAAATCAATTTATTAAAACAAATGCTACATTCTACAGTTTAAAATAATTACATGCTTTCGTTAGGTAATTTTCTTACTTATTATTTTCTTACTTACTTTCTACTTATTAATCTTGCTTATTAAGTATTTATCAAATTTTATTAAACTCTTAAAGCATTTATCGAATAAAATAGCCCCATTTTTTTTAATTAATTCACTTAAATGTTAATTTTTCTCCTAAAAATTTGAAGAAAAAAAATTAACATCAAGTTATGTAGTGTATCTTACTTGCGTTATGATTTTTAGAGTTTAAAAAAATGAGTTTACAATAAAATTTTATTTTTCTACATAATGACTAATAAAAAACTTTTTAAATATGTGTCACAAATTCTAAATATTTCAAAAAATACTAATACTCTGATTTTTTCAAATCAAAAGTTAAACGATTCCTTTTGTGTTTTATAAGAAATCAAACTAAGATTTTTTGAAGTCATAAAATTACAAATAAATTTATCGCCATAGAGATTGATTTTATTTTGTTTGTAAATAAGGCCCATTAGTGTCAAACATATTTTAGTGAAATGGTTTGCCTTTTATTATCATGTATGTACATAAATGTGAAGTACAAAAATTTCTCTTTACTGAAAAATATATTTCCTCGTATTAGTTTTGTATGTTTCTAGTCTTAATATAAAAAAAGTCATTTTTCGTGTTTAAACTAAACTTACTAGTATTACATTAAAACTATACCAAAGAACTTCTAGTCCCTGTATTAGAGAGATTAAGCACTCTCACTTAGCATTCGGCCTACTCTCGTTACTGTGTGGGCTCTGTGCAAGCTCTGTCGAGAACCAAGGTTGTTTTCTGGGAACTGCGCAGCGCAGAACTTGTTAGACGAGAGCGTGAGGGATGCTACATGACAGTGAGAAATCTCTTTACTGTCAGGACCTGTGATAATGAAACGTTCACAAGACGAGGCTTTGTCACCATGTCCACAAGCAGCTGTAAGACTGTCAAAAAATTAAGAGTTTAAAACAAACATGTTATTGTTGAGAAATGAATAAATTTATGACGGCTCTTAAAAATCAACAATGGAACCAACGAAAGCTGACGTCGAGACTGAAAGTTTCTTATTTAGATTTTTATTATTGCCAAAGAATATTTTTTGCCTTTTGATATTTTTTCGTTGCTAATTAAGTTATTTTGTGAATGAATAAATTAAATACATAATAAGCTTGCAAATTAATAATAATAAATAATGTTCACAGTTTTTATAATAGTATGTTTACAATGTTTTTAATTGATGAAATAAAAGTTTTACAGTGATTTCAATGATTAAACTGTGTGCTTACAGTAGTGTTAATTGATCAAAAAGCATGCCTCCAGTCTTTTAAGTAGACGAAAAAGTATGGTCATAGTCCTTTGTTTAATCAAAAAATTATGCTTAAAGTTCTTTTTATTGATGAAATAGTGTGCTTAAAGCTTTTATGCTCTCTAAAAAGATCTTTTGTAACTAAAGAACATCCCTGGTATATTTTTTATGTAAATTTTTGGGATCAATGACTTGTGAGCATTTGGTCTCTATTTTTGTAAATAAGAAATTATTGATATTAATTCTTATTCTTGAATTTTTAAATAAAATAAATATTGTATGAATAGTGGGTTTGTTTATTAATCATTATATAAATACATGTTAAATATCCATCTGGATACTTGCAATTAATTTAAGCCATGTGGTTCGGTTCGCAATGAGTGGCAATTCTCCATGATTTTACAGTTAAACTTGCATCCATTACATACATACAAAAATCAAATCAATATTTTGTATGTAAGTTTTTTCTAACGTAAGATGATAATACGCAAAAATGTTTTGAATGGTTACGAAGATTTGTTTCATCAAATTTTGCTATTTTGTTTTGAAATTTAGAGTTAAAACGCATACAGTCAAAAGTTTCAAATTTATTTGATAAATACTAAAGAGTCAAAATTCTAAGTGCACAGAACTTTTTTGGCATTTTTTTTAAAAATTATATTCTCAAAAATATTTAATGCATCTCATTGGAAATTTGATGCATTATTCAAAATAATACGCACTTTTCATATTATACATAAAAACTATTAAATATTCTAATAAATTTTCTATTTTAGAAAGAATCGTTAAATTTTAAAATTTTTTATGTGTCTATCATCTTATCAATTATAGATTAAAAACAATGTTAAGAAGGAAATTTATTAATCAATTTAATAACGAAAGAAAGTATAAGTACACTTAGAAAAAAAAAGTATAGTAAAAACTATGATAATATGCTAAATTTTCCGTGTTTCTGGCTCTATGGGGACACCAAAAAACTCGTTAATTTTTACCTAATCACTTTTGTAATGATTTTGGTAACATGAACAATTAAATACTGTTATATTGTTTAATAATGTGTTATAAAATCCCGAAAACATGGTTAAATTTGTTAATGTTATATCATACCTTAAGGGGTTGCATAAAAAATATTTACTTCGTTAAATTCACTTTTCAGTTTTTTTTTATCAAATGTGTGGTATTACGAATCATAATTTTGAAAATCAAAATTTCCGGTAAACCATGACCATGAGAACGGAAAAATAAAAAATGAATGATTTAAATAAAGTGTATTTTAGTTTTCATTACCAGAATTATGTTTTTTTTTCTTCCAGAAATGACATTATTATTCAGTACCAGAGTTTATTCTCTGTGTAGAAAAATGAAAAATCTCTTTTATCATTTATCATTTTAAAATAAATATCTTTTATCATTTTAAAATACCAGACGACTGTTTTTCGTTACTAATTTCTTTAATAAGCTTCTTTTTCAATACTGCGTCTAATTCAGTTTTAGGGTGGTTGTTCCAATTGTCCATCACGAGGTCCAATTTCTTTCTTTTATCGTCAAACCTTTGTCATCACTCCTCAAAATTTAGATTTATTTGAATACAAATAAAAAGGAGGTAAATACTTTGAATTAATAAAATAATCAAAATTTTACACTATCAGAAATAAAACGCTCACTTTTGACTATTCAGAAATCCTTGAGCTTTGTTTCGTTAATATTGAGAATCATTTCATCACAAAATCACGTGATTTGTGACAAAGAACGAATTCTCACATTTATGACGAAAATGCTTCCTCTACTCGGAACCTCATCGCCTTGCATTGTGAGTAATTGTTAACTAGAGTGACGAAATGTTTACTTTCTTTAGAAGAAATTCGTTTCCTCGAAGAAGTGACCATAAACAAGTAACAAAGTGACAGTTAAACATAACAAAGTGACGAAAAAACAAAGGCAAGGTTCACTCAAACCATGTACCAAAAAACGGCTTCCTTAAAATCGAAGCAAGTTTCGTGAAATTTGAGCATCCAATTTTTACAGTGTAGAGGTTGTCCATATCAACGTCTATAATATAATCAACCACTTCGTAATCTTTCTTGTTCTTGGCGATAAACAGATCTTAACACCAAAAGTTAAAAATCTTATTGATTTAAAAAATTTCTATTTTTTTCTTTCAAAAAAGTATTCCCATGTATATATATATATATATATATATATATTTTAAATTAAATATTTATTGATAACATGAAACATCTAGATACATTTCATTTTTGCTGAGACATCAAAAGAATTTTCAGAAAGTGGGAACCCTGTAATATACATGAAGAGCTGGGTTGA